CCCCCCCCCCCCCCCATTGCTTGTTTGAGGAAGATGAGGGCACTGGATGAGGGTCTATCATCTATGGTCTGTTATAATTGCTTTTTATGCAAATAGTGAGCAAAAAAGCAAAACTGTACAAGTTATACATATATAGTACTATATATAATATGATGTTTGTGATGTTACTCTGAATGTGTATCCACACCAAGCAAGCTTGAAAAATATGCCCAGCCACGGTGGGAATCGAACCTACGACCTTTGGAATACTAACCCAATGTTCTGCCAACTGAGCTACATGGTCAGCTGTGGATATACACTCAGAGTAACATCACAAACATATTATTCACCTGAGTACACAACACCAACACAGAAAAAATGTATAATATTGTTTAACACCATGGCCATGATACTAGAAATTTGTTTATTAAAGTTGCATTGAATTGTTTCTACAAGCAATGAACTTGATAATATGTTTCATAATTATCCCTCCCTATGTAATGAGCAGCCCCTTCCTGACCATGGCAATGACATACTGGTAGCAGTCCTTAATTAACATTGTTTCACAATAATATTTTCATCATATTTTCACTAAAATGTCATGAAATATTTAACTATTGAGTTAATGTTCAAGTATTAAAAGACAGAGCTGCCCAGAGCTTTTTGGGGGTCCAGTTGCAAATTGCCCTAACTGCCCTCTGGCTCCCCTGGACAGCCCTGTTAGAAAATGAATCATTAGATCTTCTATTAATACTGAAATTTCTTGCGTACTGTGTGTTCGTTTTTTAAATTAATTTTTCCAATCATGTTGAGTTTGCCATACATGTGAATATATTGTCAGATGATAACCAATTGTCTGAACTTCTGAAGTGTGCTGCAGCCTTGCCCTTGGTTGTGGAGAATAACAGCCAACCTTCCTTGCCTGATCACACATATGGTCAATCATGCTCTTCCATGCCACCCAGCCTTGCATGACTTCTTTCAAGAGCTATGGTAGTCTGAACTCATCCTTTTTGGAAACGACTAGCAAACTATAAAAATATTAAACGGTGTGTTTTGACGTTAAAACCAATCTTACGTTCACAACGGTGGGAAGTGTATGATCCTAAACTCGATTTCACGTTTAAACAGTATAAAACACCATTCACAAGGCTAGATGTTAACATAGCACAGTATTTCTGGCAATGAAACGCTCAAACTGACCAAGTGACCATTTCACATGAACTTTTATCGATGGATAATTTTGTGAGTTTTCATCCAATTCCATCATATTTATGCTCAAAATCTTGGCGGTAATTTTCTCTTTACCATAAAACTTGATCAAATAAGTTTTGAAACAATGCGGCGGCAAAAGCTGCAAAAAATTGTGATTTTCGTAATAGAATCTACAGTCTTTTTGCCCTGTTGTACCGCCATCTTGGATTTATCATGTAGGCCCCGCCTGCGCTAGGTATGCATTAGCAATCTAGATCTCCTATATCTATGTTCAAAACATTCTCTACTGATCAGTGGTCTTCCATGTTCCTCAAATAGTTTGTGTATGTTACTCAACAGTTAACATTGGCAAGTGTAATTTACAAGTGACAGCAGTGTGACCAGGTTTAGTACATTTTATTACCAGATCCCACCTGCTTTAAACAACTGCAACATTAAGAACAGGAGGGGGCAGCCAACCAATTTTAAGCAGCTTTAGTAAAAAAATTTGCATATATGGTCACACTGAGTGACAGAACTTTTGCTTCATATGATTACAATAAAGTTTTGAATATTCTATGTGTATGGATTTACAAGTGATAACATCTGCTATGACAACATCTGACTATATGACATCTAAAATGTTTGTATATTGACATTATATGGATAATAAAGAAGATTGTCAAGCTATCTCTGTGACATCACAACTTAGTTGACCTAAGGAAACCTTTGTTACAGTTATGGAAACACTACTGCAAGTGGAATTTATAGCAGCTGTTTTATTCACTATGAAACCAGATCTCATTATTTTATTCAATACTAGAATCTAACATTAATTAAACATCTATTTTCAATTGAAAACCTTCAGAAACTGTACAGTCGCTACAATATATACTATATAATATATACTTTATGCTAGTGTAATATTGTTTCCATGAAATTTTTATTTTCTGACTGCATAATTATACGTTACAATCATAATCGCATTACAAAATTAGTTACATTTTCTCAGTGGGGTGGGAGCAGTTGCCCCTGCTTGTTTGACTTTAAAATCTGATTTGCTATTATATTTATTATAATAGTGATGAAATATGTCAATTGTCCCATGTCATATTCATTATTCAATTACTTTCAAGAAAATACAAAACGTGAATCTAGTTTTTCGCAGATACATGTACGCCTAGCGTACCTATTTTTAAACATTAGAGTAAATGGAGGATTTAAAACTTCTTAAACTTATTAAAGAGGAGGTTGCTAGAAAGAGATAATGGTATGGTAGTAGACCTATGAGTACACTGAGAGGACTGTTAAGCAAATAGGAAAATTATCATTAAATAGGAATGATGATGATAATGATGATGACGACAGTGACGTCAAACAAGTTAGTGATATACTAACTAAACTTCTTATAGAGAAATTCACACAGTTATTAGGTGCTCTGAATATAATAACAAACCCAAAAGATTTAGAGACAAAGTTAAAGTCTAACTCACTACTAATGTCTGATGTTGAAAGAGTAGTCCTATGGTAACTCCATACATTCCATTCATTGTCTTGCTAAGTGGTGGTATTACAACAATGACAGAGGTTTGGTCTCATGGAAAGAGAGAGAATACCACATCTATAGTAAAAGCAGACCTTAAACAATCCTTAAACAAACCTTAACAAACCTTGAACAGACCTTAACAAACCTTGAACAGACCTTAACAAACCTTGAACAGACCGTGAATAAACCTTAAACAAACCATAACAAACCTTAACAAACCTTAAGAAACCTTGAACAGACCTTGAACAAATCTTAAATAAACTTTAAACAGCCTTTAAGCAGACTTTAAACAAACCTAAACAAAACTAAAGCAAACCTTAAACAAAAGTAAAGCAAACCTTAAAGAAACCTTAAACAAAAGTAAAGCAAACCTTAAAGAATCCTTAAACAAAAGTAAAAGCAAACCTTAAACAAGTCTGAGCGTGAGTTGGGGGAACTTTTTTTCTTTGTGACGTTATCAGAATGGAATATGGGAGATCGGTAATAGTGGAGTTTTTTGCTAAAATTTGGGAGGTGGTGGTGAATGAAATAAAATGAAGAATGAAATAAAATTATTTAAAAACCAAAGTGAGCTGAAACCCGGCTTTCTCTACTACTCAAGGAACTGGATGTTTTGAAAGTCCAGCTGGACAACTTGGAAAATGATCAACAAAAGCAAGTGGAAGCACTCGAGTCAAAGATGGAAGAAACTGAATTAAAGGCAAGTCAGGTGAAAACCGCAACTGTAAGTAAACCAATTGCAAATGACTTAAGCAAGTATTACGTAGAGAATATATAGATAGTATATCAATATTAAATTCATATTAATCTGACACTGCAGAGAACAACGAAAAATTCATTATCTTTAAACTAGAGTTTTTCACCTCTGCCGAATTAAATGTCGGGTGTCGACATCTTGTTGCAAAGTCTATGATTTAGCTACGTTTGGAAACTTCATTGAAAAGGTATATCAGTGTTAAATTCATATTAATCTGACACTGCAGAGAACAACGAAAAATTCATTCTCTCAAGCGGGATTTGAACTCGCATCTTTGGGTTTCTAGACCTTTTTTTACCAATTTAGCTATCGTGTCAATGGGCATTGCTAGTAAGCATTATCTAATTTAAATAAATGCACGAAATATTTTCGGATGAAAATGAATGCCGTTCATTCATAGGGGGAGATAAGAGAACAATTGGTCAAGGTTAATACCGAGATTGATTGTCCTAAGGAACAGAAGACAGTGAACAAGGAACTGGAAGTTTTGAAAGTCCAGCTGGACAACTTGGAAAATGATCAACAAAAGCAAGTGGAAGCACTCGAGTCAAAGATGGAAGAAACTGAATTAAACGCAAGTCAAGTGACAACCGCAACTGCAAGTAAACCAATTTGCAAATGATCTTAAGCAAGTATTACGTAGAGAATTCAAGATTAATGCGCAGATACGAGAACCTGGCCAAAATGATAAACTTAGTTTTGTAAGCTACAATCTTGGACATAACTGGTTGAGACTATTTTCTCCCCATAGAACATTCACGTATTTTTATGATAAACTCCATGTTGAATCATGTTGCCATTCTTAAACCCCCGCTCCCCCAACTCAATGTTGAGCTTGTATCATGGTATATTACCAAAAGTTGTTCTGGCGTTGTTCACAACATTGAACTGGGGGGGAGGGGGGGGGGACAAAGTTTGTTTTGCCAATGTTCAATAACTTTGCAATATTAGCTGAAATGGTCTCAAGGGTTTTGTCCAAGATTGCAGGTCAGACAAATTGAAAGTGCATTATTGAAGGGTTACCCGGAAGCTGAGTGACCGATGCAGTAATAAGAGCGACTGTCCTAGTATGCAGTTGCGAAGTTATCTTGAAACTATCAGTAACTTGACATTGCCAAGATTACGTGCTATTTTGAGATCATACTTTCAGGAGAAAAGTGCAACTGAGTTTTATCAACAGCTAACGACAATTGTACATGCACCTGAAGAGAGCCCGCAGAGCTTTTTGATAAGAGCTTTTAGACCTAGGTCAAAAGGTTTTATTTGCCTCTAAAGAAGCAGGAGTAAAGATTAAGTATGACAAAAGTCTGGTTCAGGGATTGTTCTTTTACTTACTTGAAACTAGACTTCATCATGAAGCAGTAAGAACAAAGTTACGCCCATTTTTACAGCAACCAGAGATAACAGATGATTATAAGACTGTAAAGTCGTCTGATACCATAATGCACGACTTGCGAGGACCTTGGCATATAATTCATAGCCCGTTACGGGGACCTGAAGTCCTTACAGTGTATGGTGTATAGTATAGAGGATTTATTATATAATTTGCATCTCTATCTTTAAACTAGAGTTTTTCATCTCTGCCGAATTAAATGTCAGGTGTCGACATCTTGTTGCAGAGTCTATGATTTAGCTGCATTTGGAGACTTCATTGAAAAGGTATATCAATATTAAATTCATATTAATCTGACACTGCAGAGAACAACGAAAAATTCATTGTCTCGAGCGGGATTTGAACTCGCATCTTCGGGTTTCTAGACTGCCTCTTTACCAATTTAGCTATCGTGTCAATGGGCATTGCTAGTAAGCATTATCCGATTTAAATAAATGCACAAAATATTTTCGCGAATTTAATATTTATATCTCTCAAGATGGTTCTGAAATAAATTGTATATAATTTGAATAGATAGACTACCTGAAATGCGTGCGTGTACGTGCGTACGAAAAACGCAACAGTGCCAGTGGAAATCAGCCTTTAGATCTTAACAGTAATGTGCGTCAGTTGTGTAGCCCCAGCGAGTTAACGCTCCACAGAGCGTCTTGTTATTTTATTATTTGTTCTTCACATGAGCAGTTATATAGCCTTAAATGTCCATAAACATAGGCTAAATGGAAACCCATTGTGCAGACTCATAAAATCGCTTTTCCCATTTGCCATTTTGGTTTAATGTTGTACATAGCATGTTGTACTAAACGAATCTAACTTGCTTTGTTGTCTAGATGGCAAAACAAAGTAAATATTTTGTGTTTTATGTCAATTTATTCCATAACTGTGCGTATTTATTTAAATATAATTGAATATTTGTGTTAATGTAGGTATAGCAAGTTATGACTATCAAGTTTGTGTTGTGCTTTATCTATTTAGCATAAAATTATCGTTGCTTATGTATTGTAACCTAGTCTGCAAAACGAGCGAAAGTCATAGTTTGTATCAAATATAGAAAGAAAGCTATTGCCGTATTATTTACAACCAGCGGGAGTCCACATTGTCAATTATAATTAGTTGTGCAAGACTGCAAGTCCATACAAATGCGATGAATACCCATGATTTCATGTTTATATTGTACACAAACATCGTCTTGATTATTTCTTATCAATAAAATATGAAACTACAACTTCATAATATGAAATACAACATGAAATTGTTGCATTTGTATTGGCGCAACTAATTACAATCGACAATGCGGACTCCCGCTGGTTGTAAATAATACAGCTTAATGGTGATAGCTTTCTTTCTATATTTGATACAAACTATGACTTTTGCCTGTTTTGCAGACTAGGTTACAATACATAAGCAGCAATAATTTTATGCTAAATAGATAAAGCACAACACAAACTTGATAGTCATAAGGGACCGGTCATAAAGTAACTGCTAGGGTGGGCTGGAGTGATTTGGGATGGGCCATGGAAAATCATTGGCCAGTTTCAATGGGCCACCAATTTTTTTATATGTCCACGGTTCGGCCACCAAACAAAAACCCATATATACTATCATCACTTATTATATATATTATAGCAACTGTCACTTGTCTTAACTAAAACTGTAAACTGTCACTTATCTTAACTAATTTTATAATGTGATTATGCTTGTAATGAATCATTATGCAGTCAGGACATAAAAATTTCATGCAAACAACATTCGAAATGTCTATACAGCTGGCTATTTAGTAAACTGTCACTTGTCAATCCATACTCATCGAATTTTCAAAACCTTATTGTAATCATGTAATCTTATTGTAACCATGTGCCTCACTTCATGAAAATGCACAATGGAATAAAACAGTTTTGTGGACAAGGTAACTATGAATAGTTTATTATTAAACCTCAATCTGGGTATCATTTTTATAATTTCATACAAAATATGTTAGCATAGTGATATACTTGGTCAGTGTAAGTTACAGACAATAATTGTGAATGGTGATGCAATCTCAATTGTGATTGGCTAAGAAATAACAGACAATTCTCAATATCTTGCTACCTACAATGACATTGAAAATTGTCTTGGGATTTGATTTTGAATTTATAACAATGATATAATAAAACAATTATTGAATTCAACTTTTGCATGATATCAGGTATTGCCCAGACCTCGGTCAATGTTATCAGCCTTTGGCTTCGGCAGATAACATTGAACAAGGTCTGGATAAATATTATAGCAAATAAGATTTTAAAGTCAAACATAATAATACAAATCTAACAGGGCTGTACACTGCATGGAGGGCAGCAGGGGCAACTGCCCCTCCCCACCGAGAAAATTTAACTAATTTTATAACATGATTAGTATAGGTAATAGCATGGTTTCGAGTGCAATTTGGATATAACATGCACGAGTGAGTTTTTCAAAGACCTCAAAATAGCATGAGTCCTATTTGAGGTCTTTGAAAAACTCACAAGTGCATCTTTATCCAAATTGTGCAAGAAACCATGCCATTACTTGTTAATAATTTACATAAAAGTATTCGAGACAATCAAATTTGAACTTGACATTTATTAATAAACAAAGAACAAATATATTAGCTACACGTCAAAAATCAAAATGCATAAACTAGGCAAAACAATACAAAACAAAACACTTTGTTGGTACAAAGCACTTACTTGTTTGTGTCCGAGTAATTTTTAAGCGCATAACTATGTATAACAGTATATAAAACAAAACAGTCAATCAGAGTCACTTTCAATCATGTAAGTGCGACGTTGCTTCGGGTTCGAAGTATCCTGAGGAAGAATTGGCGAAGTCATCGTTGAACCAACTGAGAAAGTTACTTGGCAGTTGTTGAAATTGTTGTTGTTTAACATTTTCTGTCGACTTTCTTGTCTCACCGTTGCTTGACTCAGTTGATTACTGCTGCTCACGTTTAGTTGACCTTGCCGTTGGAAATCAGCAAGAAAGGCTTGCTGTTGTTGCATTGCCACTTTTGCCAAGTGGATGCCCCATCGTGACGTTGTTGTGGATTATTCCTCCATGATATCCTGGAAGACATTTGCTGCTGTTCTTGTTCGTCTCCATCATAATCGTTGAGCCATTGCAAGTTGCGGTGACCAGTTACTTTCACGATCGAGGAACGCTCAACGTTGTTCTTTTTCAATTTGTTGACTACCGTCTTACGAGCACTGTGGTTTGTCAATTTCGTTTGTTGTTGATGCTCAAGTTGTGTTCCCTGGACAATCCTTTTCATCATTTCGTTGATGCGATTTGTGCCCATAGGTTGAGATTTGTACCAAGTGTTGTTGTTGGAGAGTTGTACTTTATCGACAGGTAAAACGGGCCGGAATTTTGGAGTGCCGCTGGTTGCCGAGACAAGTACTCATTGAACAGAGCAACAGGACATCTTTCATCACCTGTAGCATACATCTTGGGCAGGAAATCTCTCGACTTTTTTGACAAGCCTCCATTTCTTGTTTTGGTGGGACATTCGATGTATTCAACGTACTCGAGTGCGTCGTTGTCTTTGCCAATTGTGAAGTCTTCAACTTTCATGCCGTGATGCTCCTGTCGTCGACGCTTTGCCTTTCCCTCGAGAACTTCTTTTGATTTGCAAAATTCCCGGTCTCGTATTATGGACTTCTGATAACCACAGTCTTTCAAATAACAGTCCAAGGCTGCTATCATAACGCGGAGACTGTCTGGTTCGTATTCACCGCCATCCTTGTTCCTGACTTCACCGTAAAATTTCTCCAAAATTTTGTCTAAGTCGAACGCCTCGTACGTTTCAATGGCCTCAGAAAAACCTCGCTCCTTTGCCCATGATTTAAAAACGCCAAGCCAAAAGATTGTGCTTCTCTTGGTATTTGTATTTTCTGCATTATTTCGCAGTTCTTCAATTGAACTCACTTCCAAGTGCGGGAATCGTTCCCCACCGCTAAATGCGGCCATGTTTCTTTTGGAAAAAAAAAGAGAACATTTTGCCGCCAAAACGTAGCTCAATTTTGATTGGTTCATAGTGATAACAGAAAATTGCACTGTGATTACAGAAAATTGCACCATGATTACAGAAAATTGCACAGTGATTACAGAAAATTGCACTGTGATTACAGAAAATTGCACTGTGATTACAGAAAATTGCACTGCTGTTTGGGATTAACTGCACTGAAATCAACCAATCACAGTCGAGTAATACTTTTATGTATACTATTATAATAGAAACATGCTTCTTGGCCAAATGGACCAATCAATGATCGCGTGTAGTAGTACTTCAGACTGTCAGTTCCCTGCAAAAAATCTGCAGCTCACCATTGTTAGGCCCGGTTTAGACGCCGTGCTTTTCATGAGCCGAACTTAATGCAATGAATTAAGCACATGAGAAGCACGGCGTCTAAATCAATTAAGCACTGCACTTAATATTAAGCACGGCTAAATTAATAAGTTCGCCTAGTTCAGGCGTGCTACACGGCTGAAGCACATGTTGATTTATACTGCCGTGCTTTACATGAGCCGTACCAAATGCATAAATTATGATAAAATAGAACATTTATTGTACGCGTGCGTTGATTGGTCGAGAAGCGTGTTTCTACGCGGGAAATTTCCCGCCAAAACTTACAATCGTAAACAAAACAATTAAGAATTGTTTAATACAGTCAAAATACAAAAACCTTCCCACTTCCGCTTCTGGCTTGTTTTGTATTTCTGTAATTTGTTCTATTTTTTCTGTAGTGATTTAATACCGGCAAATATCCGGCGGTAGAATTTCCCTTTCTTTTCTTTATATACGTCAATTTGTAGCAAAGGATACACCTTTCGTTAGACTCTTTGCATGAAAGTTGCGAAATTAGGCTTATAGGCTATAGCGATATTTGCTGATAAAGGCAAAAAGGGTTTCTTGCAGTAAATTGATGGAGCAAAGGTCGGCATTATTACGCAATGAGAATTTGTAAATATATCGAGTCTACTACAAATCTTTTTTTATTTATATTAAGAAATAAATATAAAGCATTTATTATGTATGACCCATACAGTTATACAAACACTTGTAGTAGTTTGGGAGAACTCGAATAACGTGGAAAAACTCGCCCTAAGCCTATATAGGTCTCGTTTTCCCACACATTATATCCAGGCATTATGCTATGTTTGTAGTAATAAGGCTTTTCAAAAAGCAATTGAAATTTTTAATAACCACAAACCTGTAGACGCTCAGAAATGCAAGAAATGCCAAGACTGTATGTGATAAACACTTTTTTCGTATTATGAATTATCACTCGCCCCAGGTTTCGAAGTGAAGCAGCGCAAATTATTAAGTACGGCTCATGAAAAGCACGCCTGTCTAAATCAAAATTGGAAGTACGCCTATTTTACTCGAGTAAAATATGAATTAAGTTCGGCTCATGAAAAGCACGGCGTCTAAACCGGGCCTTAGAGTGTAATTAGAAACATTTGTGAGCCCATGAAAGCACCGTTTTTGGACACAGATGTTTAATCAAGAATGGCAGTCAATGCAGTTTCACGTTCATGATTTCAAACAAGAATGGCTGAAATGTTGCCATCTATAACCACTCTATATTTACTTCTGGTCGGCGTTCGTGAATAAAAAATGTCGCTTGCTTATTATTTAGATAGATAGATAGATATTTAATAAATTTCTCCCTGAAAGGGTTTTTCAGAAATTATTTACAATTATTTATAACATGATGAACAAAGTTTAGTGAGTTATTAAATGTTCTCCTTGGCAAGCAAATTTAGAAGTGGGTGGAGCTTAAGGAAATGGATTCATTCCAAATAACATAATTGGTGTGTTGCAATATGTATACCCATACATTATGAAATTCTAGCTATCAGTAACCTGTTCTGCATCAGGCCGTCCTTCCAAACTTGAAGGCATTATCTTTCCAAGAATTGCAAGTTGATCGACACAGTCTTCAAGCACAGAGGAAACATAAATTGCATCTAGGGTCAAAAGCTTGTTCTCCATTTTATTACTCAGCTGTGTTTGCCAACTTTTGGTGAACAAAAGCTAAAACAGCTTTTAACTTTAAAAAAAAACAAATAAAAATCTCTTTAACATTCATAAGATGTCTGATTTTAATTAATAATATAACAAAGCAAGCAATATTTAAGAGGGTAAATATCAATATTTTGTTGGCATCTCACTCAATTGAATGTATATATAATGTAATAAATGTATATAGTTTTCCACTCGATAATTTCCATCTACAATACCCTTCAACTATTATTCAGTTGAGTGAGATACCAACAAAATATTGATATTTACCCATAACCTACAAATGGCAGTACCCTAATATAGCTGCACCGGAATCGCAGGCCCACAGATTCGATTCCTGCCAGCGACCTAAAGTTGCATTTTTCGCAGCTGTTCCTGGTTAGGTCTACTAAATATATACAAATTTCCACTCGATAATTTCCATCTACAGTACCCTTCAATATTTAAGAGGCCCCTAAATTCTAATTCTATTTATGGAATTTTGAAAATTTGTTTTTCCTATACCGGTACGTTTGCTCTATGTTGAGGGTCCTGAAGAGGAGGGGGGATCTAGATCCCATTTTCCCAGCCCAAATTTTCTCTAAATCCCATTTCCCAGACCCTTTTTAGATCATAACCCAGTCCCAGTGTGAAATTGAAAGAAAAACCCAGAGGAAGTGACGTGAATCTATTTGATGACTTTTAAACACAATTCTGCATTCAATTGCCCTCTTTAGAACTAGTTTTGCCAAGAAAAAGGTGTCTTTATAATGGTACTTGGGTTTTCCCATTCTCATTTTTGTGTCTGGCATTCCCAATAACCCAAATCCCATTTCCCAGTCCAAAAATATAAAAATCCCAGTTCCCATCCATTATTTACCCCCTTCAAGACCATCTATGTTAACACACTGCACACAAATCTGTGCAGAAAAGCAATTTTTTTGTGCATATATTTTTTGTGCATAGGGAATTGCACACAATTCCAAAAGTCGACACAATGGTTCGGTGCCAGTTTGCAGAACGTACACGTGGCACATTTCGACGAGATCTCGGGTGCAATATACCAAGAATTTCAAGTGCAGGTGCGCTTCAAACTGTCAGGTGCGCACCTGAAAAATTGTAAAAAATGCTGTAGGTGCGAATTTTTTGTGACAAGGTGTGTCACCGCCGGCTGGGAAATAGTAAATTACAATTTATCAGCGGCTTATCTCTTGTCTTTCCCCCCACGGTCCACTCTTTCGTATATCTTTTCTTGCATGGCCAAATACGCGCTAGACAGTAACAGACCTCTCAACTTTGCAGAGAAGTTAAGAGTGAGATTGGGGATGTGGATGACATGCACCTTTGTAAACGTCCGGTGGTCTGAAATGGCATTTCGTACATTATGAGAGTTGGTGGTTTTTAATGAAATACATTGCTTCATATTCATAACGTCCTTTAAAACTATATTTCTGTGACATACAGTAATGAGCTTTAATTTGCCTTTGATAATTTACATATAGAATTCTGCTCGGACTGATTCTGCCTTTTGTCCGCCATATTTACATATGCGTACTATTTTGTATCCAAATTGTCGGGCCGTATATGCAGGAACAAGAACACGCGATTATATATTCGACTCGCGATCCGTATAATTAACAATTATTCGCCGAAGGCGAGGTGATTATCGGTGAATAAAAACCGAGACGAAGTCGAGGTTTTTATTCACGTAATCACCGAGCCTGAGGCGAATAATTGTTTTAGTATAATTTCATAGGTGATTATTTGGGAAAAAATTTAAAAATGCACATTTCTTCGTCATTTAATTGACAAAACGGCTTCGACCGCCATTTTGAAAATCGCTTAGGTGATTATCGCGTAATAATCACCTCAACGGCAACCAATCAGCGTGGAGAATTTTCAATAATCACCTATGTAATTATACTAATGATTAATAATGTGCATTTAAGAATACAATATTAGTATTATTGAGAAAAAAAATACTATGAAACTGCTATATGCGTGAGATTTACTAAACGTGGCGTGAGAGCGTGAGAGTGAAGCGAATTGCGTGAGACTCACGCCGAATGCGTGAGAGTTGAGAGGTCTGCAGTAACCCACTGAGCAGTAACCTGAGTTGAAGAATGCGTATTGCATAAGCTGATTTGATATTTTCGCGCCAATTTTTTCCTGAAAGAAAATGGCGGAAGCTATAGAAGTAACATGTGCAGTTTGCGATAAAGAGGTAGGAACAGGACACAAATGTAAGTTATGCAGCGAATTTGTTCATCTTATATGTGGGGAAAGGGATGAAGATGAAGAAAAAGAAGGATACGGACAAAGTGTATCATGTTTCAAGTGTTTAAAAATAAGAGGAAGAGGTACCAGTGTAATAGACCTCCTAAGCTTGTATGTAAATTAACCCATTTCAAGTCATGTGGTCTGTAATAGCTTACTTGTACAGACACCCTACATCATTATACATGTCAAGTGCACCCTGGGAGCTAAGGCACGAGGAACATTTAGGCTAGGTGCGCTAAAATTGCAACAAGAAATTGCCCTCGGGTGCGCTAGTGCCACGTTCTGCAAACTGGGTTCGTTGCAGAGAAATTATACATTGTATGTATCATTCACGTTTTTCATAAACAAAGCATTTTCCTAGTAAACTAGTATTGCTAGGTACCAGATTGAATTACAAACCTCAAATTGTCGTTAAATGTCAATGAACAAAGTGTGTCCACTCTTTTATTTTGATCGCAACGTCCGCCATTACTGTGGTTGCTATGTAAATTATCCGTTGCTATGGCATATACTTCCACTTTGTTCTTGCCAGACTTCAAAACGTTTTCCTAAAATTCCTTATACGCGAATTCGCTGACCAAATGTACATCATACATGCGCCGTGATCCAATATGGCCGCTGAAGAGGAGAGTTTTGTGAGTATTGGAAGAGCTTTTGACGTACCTGATGAAGATGCACCGAAGAAAAAGGCCCTTCCAGTTCATGAACAATATGCCACAGACAACGATGGACGAAGACGATTTCATGGCGCCTTTACAGGAGGTTTTTCAGCAGGTTATTTCAACACGGTGGGAAGCAAGGAGGGATGGAAGCCCTCTACGTTTGTTTCGTCCCGATTGAAAAGATTCGAATCATCGCGCCAAAAGCCCGAGGATTTTATGGATGAAGAAGATCTAGGGGAGTTTGGAATTGCTCCAAGAAATGTTGAAACAACAAAGTTGTTTTCTCGAGAGCATGAAAGCGAAGAGAAACGAAATGAACCTGTTGTATCAACATCTGGGGTCAGTTTTGACTCAATGATGAAATATGCTCTACAAGACTTGGTAGTGCCATGTCGGATGTCTATTGGAGTTAAGTTATTGAAAAGGATGGGGTGGAAGGAAGGACAGGGCATTGGCCCACGTGTGAGACAACTGCCAAAGAAAAAGGTGGGTATGAGTCACAAATGGAAGCCTGACTGGAAAGTTTGTGCACTGTGTACCCAGACTGGAAAGTTTGGAAATTGCACGCCAGAGATTTCAAAAATTTAATAGTAAATATATAGAAAGCATAAAAAATGTGCATGGAAGATCTTCCGCGCATGGTGCAAAAAATGCAGTCTGCTTATCCCAAGTTAATTCACTTCGAAAATTAATTGGACTTCCAAAGATCTCAGAACTTTGCATATTTTTACAAACTTTACAATGTGGGTTGATGTAGTTTTACAATCCTCTCTCATGATCTCATTATTGGCTATCATCTCATAAGGGGCCGTTGTCATATAGATTATGTCTTGCATTGTGGACTTGGTCTGCGATTGCTTGAACCCCCTCCCACCTACAATTTTTGCCAGAAACTATGGGACAGCTGCTGTAATTTCATATAATTTGAAAGGAATAGCACCCCCCGTTCCCCCAGTTCAATGTTGGGCCAACAAAAATTTGATGTCTGGATACGCGGCGCCAACATTGAAACGGGTGGGGGGAGTGAGGGTGGAAAATGTGTATCAGGAAATGGTATATTACAACCGCATGCATGTGAAAACTAGATTGTCCCAATCTATATTGTCAAAGATTGTGTGTTGAAGTAATACCATTACTCTTAAATTTAACTTAATTTAACTTGTAGGCATCTTGAAGCTGTGTACGCAGTTATATTTTCATAATTTCTTCACCTCTTTTAGGTCCTCTAGCAATTTCGGTGCACACGGATAATTTTTGTGTACTGTGTTATACGGCAAAGTTTGCGTATGCGTGTGTTAGGAAATAGCTAAAACCCGTCTGAAACATCGCGCATATTTAAAATCAGATTTAAAGGCTTATAGTGCTAAATTTTAGACACAAAATTGACAACTGCGCCATCTTGTTAGTATAACTAAGCGCGTATATGTGACAATGACATCAATATAGAAATGAATCTCACCACGAATCTCACCATATTTTCATGGGCTCACACGCCATAAAAGCCTTAATAGCAGACAATATCAAACAAATTCACCCTAGGCATCTAAAGTCAAACATATTTTACAAGGTAGGACGATTTTACAAGTTTTCGTAACGAACTGACTAAGATACGAATGATGTTCTAGCAACGATTCTCACTTTCTGACATAAAATAGCCAATGAGATACAGATTTATTTACGTTTTGTAGTGAGCTTCGAAAGGAATAACGAAATGAGATACAGATTTATTTACGTTTTGTAGTGAGCTTCGAAAGGAATAACGCCCCCCATTCCCCCAGTTCAATGTTGGGCCAACAAAAATTTGACGTTGGATACGCGGCGCCAACATTGAAACAGGTGGGGGGAGGGAGGGTGAAAAATGTGTATCAGGAAATGGTATATTGCAACCAAATGCATGTGAAAACTAGATTGTCCCAATCTATATTGTCAAAGATTGTACCTCATCAGGGACAAGTAAAAAACCAATGAGAATCGAAATTGTGATCCAAAATATTGTCCGAAATATGACTGTGAGCGGTCTACTATAGGACCTATAGGCAAGGTTAGAATAAGTTGACTTTTAACATTACAATCACCTTGTAATAAATAAAAACTAGTTTCCGTATTGTTTAGCAGAACTTTGTAAGCGACATAAAATTTAAATAAATACCCGATTTGCTGTCTACAAATGCAATATTTATATCCCCGATTGAACGAAAGAAAGTTTGTGTCGCACAGCGAAGTGAAAAGTCAACGCAAAATATTTGCCTGCAATCAGTTATTCCAGCGGCAACACATTAAATTGGAATTAACCGGAATGGGTTTGGACATAGATTGTATACTTTGAAAATTAATGTAAATATCAAACTAAGTATTGTTGTTGAGCTGTGTCAACTTTTTGCCTCTGAACTTTTTGTGAGTATTATTTAAAATGCACTACATTTTCTTCAAAAATTTCCGGCTGGCATCAAACGCGCTAATCGGGTGAATATTAATTGGCATGGATGGAAACTGGTATTGGCGTAGCCAGTGAAGCAGAAGTAGGGAAGGGGACAATGTATGACATCATGAAGATATTGTTGGGTGGACGTGAGCCTGCTAGGGATGTCTGGGGGTATATTCACTTGAGCGTTTTTGAAATCTGAGACCTCAGAGCCCCAGGAATTGATTGCTGAGAAAAATAAATAAACAAGGCATTATAAAAAGAATAAAGTGTGCTTGCTTACGTAGCATTAAATGTTTTTCCTTTAATTTATGTCTTCGACATACCTTTGACAAATGTTCATCATAAGGTGGACATTATATTGTGCACATCCCCCCCCCCCCGAACATTTCTCAGAGAAATGGAGTTTTTGGTGTAGAGGAGACTTGGTGTCTTTTGTCTGAAGGTAATTGGTGCTGGGAATCGAACGATAAGGGGTGTATTTTTTCCTTTTTCCACTGGTGACTGTATAGGTGTCTTGCTGGAGGGTGCATTATCAGGTATGGTTCGTTTAGTAAGAAGAGGAAGGTAATTGCCAATGATAGTCAAGACAGGTGTGCTTGTACAGGGACATGCTTTTGGAGGAACGTTTGATTACAAAGGGTGATTCTACCAGATCCATTGACTCTGTATTGGTTGAGTTTGATGCCTCGATCACAAGACCTGTCTTGTGTCACTTGGTAGAGTGGGGACTTGTTTGACTCTGTATTCTCACATGGTTGCCAATAACCAGGGATGGTAGTTTCTTTATGTGTTCTGCCACTGCTCGGCAGCTTTCATATGGCAAATTGTTAAGGTCCCTTCCCTTCAATAAGCATGTCGCTCTCGTTGGGTGTGGCTTGCACCAACCAGGTAGAATAGGTCTGTATGAATTAGTTGCATCCCTACCAGGTAGAATAGGTATGAAGTAGTTGTGAAATTCAAAGCATACTTCTGAGCAGCTTGATTATAAACTTGGAAATATTTTTTCAGAAATCTTGTCTGAATTATCAGCAGTTTAATTTTCTAACGTTTTGAAATAAACAGACGTACAAATACTATTGTTCCCAGTAAACTGCGAAACGACCGTTTTTTTAGGCGGTTTGTCAGTGACAATTTTGTCAATTACGAAGGACATATTTGTGTACCTCGTGATCACAATTCGCTGCAAGCGGCGTGTGAAAAACTGCAAGTTTCAGTTTGACATTCTGACAGTTAAATGGTTTCTAATTTTATTGTCCAATCAGGTGCGTAGTTTTGATTTAAAATTCAAAACTACACATCTGATTGGACAATAAAATTAGAAACTCATTTAACTGTCAAACTGAAACTTGCAGTTTTTCACACGCCGCTTGCAACGAATTGTGATCACGAGGTACACAAATATGTCCTTCGTAAAAATGGTCGTTTCGCAGTTTACTGTGAACAATAGTATAAATAAACCAAAGCAATGGGTTAAATATAACCCACGGTTAGCGCTAACCGTGCTTTGAACAACCGGCCCTTGGTCTACAATGACCAAATAGTTAACTCGTAGTGTTCTGTCAAAGTAAACAAAGACAGTCAAACCAAAAGGCTGGAAATGAATTTACTTATGCGTCATCACATGTATCATTTGATTGGACGAAACACTTTTTCTCACGTGTGAGAAAATTATTTCTCTTTCCTGCATGATTGACTTATATTTATTGCGAAACCAGTTTTTGCGTAAGTAAATCCATTCTTGAAACGCGTTATCTATAACCATTTAAGGCCTTTCATTTTTTTTTTTATTATCTTAATCAGGTGTATGGATGCGTCCTTCCTCCTTGCCCTGCAGCAAATGAGAAAGGTGATAACGAACATGATATTTATGCTGAAGGATTGCTGTTTGCTCCAAAGGATACGATGACTATTAAATTTACTCCAAAAGATAATTTACATGGCATTGGTTACAAAGGAATGTTGGCTCCTAAGCCAATGGAGATTTCCAAGCCCGGTTTCTCGGGAAATTTGAAGATCAAAGGGCAGGTAAGCAATCCACGATTCACAAATCTTGGAACCGGTTGCACAGTCTATGCCCCAACTTGAAAAAACCCTTTTCTATATGCTCGAAGGTCAGGTTCCTGATCTACAGTAAGCGTAGCGTATCAGGGACATTTAATAATATCAAATAATATGCCATGCACTGTTTATGTTCCAACAAGCACACTAAGGAGGGAAAACACAACCTGATTTTTAGTAGGCTAAAAAAAAAATCATTCAAGTCACGATGAAAACTATTTTAAAATATTTGCCCCATTGTGTATCCGTTATACGTGCTGTAGGCATTTGGTGTCGGGGCATTTGAAGATGATGATGAAGATGTTTACAGTCAAGATTCAATTACAAACTATGATATCGAACTTCATGATAGGAAACCTTTACATACTGATCTTCATGGATGGACAGGGCCACCAGGACAGGCAATTAAAGGTGGGTAAAATAATTTATTTTGTGCTTCTCGCTTGACAATATTGAGACACTCAGGAATATTTGGTGTCTTTAGAATAATAAAAAAAATAATACATATGTTTAAATTGTTTTTTCTATACTGTACATCGCGCGGTTTGAAAACTAAAACTCTCAGATAGAAGTATCTGCGCATGAGTTTGTAAATATTGTGACAGACATATTCAATACGTAATACATTATGGTTGGTGGTAGAAATAACGTAATACAGTATGGTTGTTCGGTCCGATCTGATCAAAATATTAATAGTTTAAACAACGAATTATTGTAAAGTGTTATAAAGCAACTTTACGACAACGTTGTCCTGGAGAAAACTTCTTATACTGTTGTGCTACAGTATAACTTCTGTAGTGAGGTTGTTGAACTTTATGCAGATAAGAATCAGTATATAACACCTTACTTTCTTGCATAACTATTCATGTTATTTTAGGTGGAGCTCTTTCACTGTTTGCCAAAGCCTCTAAGCCAAAACCTGCCAATAAAGCCTTTCCCCCACCATCGATTCCCGGAGGGTACCAACCCTTTATTGACGTGAAAGAAACATACGATGTAAAAAAGGACGAAACGTCTATGGCTCAACTTACATCCGAAGCCAGAGGCAAACTTCTTGGAGAACAACCACTACAAAAGACAACTAAGTCGGTATTCGATCTGATGAGCAAGGATGATAGAGAGCGCATTACTTCGACTAAAAAAACATTGCAAACGAATTCTCCTTTAGTGAAAAATTCTTTGACTCAACAATGTTCAAATGTACGTGCAGTAGGTTTTCAACCATTTGCTAAAGATCCGGCTAAACAAGCCCGCTATGATAGCTTTCTGGAATCTCGAAAGAGTCATGGAATTGAATCAAATACATCGAACGAGCTACGGTTTGTTTGCTTTTTATCTTTATTTAATGTACAAAATTGTCCTTCAGTAGCATTATATGAATCTTGTGTATTCGAGTAAGGCCAAAAGCTACTGTTTGACTGCATTACGATCCTGCTACAACGTTGACGATTCACGAACTTGGAAGACTGTCTGTGTCAAATCATAGAAATGTAACACATGCAGAAGTCTCATCCGACCATTAACTTGCTGTTACTAGAGGGGCGTTTGCACATTGTGATTTGTCCTGTGCGATTCGGGTTTTGGTGTATGAAATTCATTTGATGCCTCAACTCCAAAAATCTGAATTGAAGCGAAACTTTAAATGCACAATTGACGCGTGCCTACTCGATTGGATTCGCCAAAATACGAGTCGTACACGGCGGATCGCGGTGTTAAGTAAACTAAGTATAATTACATAGGTGATTTAGTGAAAATTTTCCACGCTGATTGGTTGCCGTTGAGGTGATTATAACGCGATAATCACCTAAGCGATTTTCGAAATATTATGGCGGCCTTCGACTTTGTCTCTGTCCCTATTCACCGATAATCACCTAGCCTTCGGCGAAAAAATGTTAATTATTTCTGTTTTCTATATTTATATTTATATTGATATTTTGTAAAGGGCCCACTGTAATTGGTGTTAAGCTGTTGTGATGTCCCAGCTTCTTTAATGCAATTATTGTATGATGTTTGGAAGCGAAGCACAATAAATAAATAAGTATAATTAGGCGGCAAATTTTAATATAAAAACTATAAAAATATAAAAAAGTGTCTTAGCTTTCGTCGTCGACGACGCAAATTTTTTTCCGTAGACAGTCGGACTCCTCATTGATAGTCGGACGCATCATTGATCCGCGTCCAGGCCTCCGCGCGTTATCGATGGATCCCTTCGTACCCTGCGTAACCCATTGGTGCACCATATATCCATCACTCCACGTTATTCTTCTTCGACCACGTGTAGAAAGATGAACGATTTGCTTCGCGATGGTATAGTAAATATACAAACTTGTTTTTCTGGTTGCGAAAATACTCAACAACTGTTATTGCAAATTAAAACTATATATCATCCCAAATGAAGAGAATCGGGATAAGATAAATAGCGTGCCAGGAAATACTGGAAGATTCAAAGCGGCCATCAAGACCACTTTCCACAAATAGGAGTATTGCAGAATACCCGTCCACTAGTAATATATCATGTAGCCTGGCCACTATTTCACTGGATACGTATATACCAGATCTTATTGTCTCGTTCTAATATATACAAACTAATTACTAAAACAATATTACGAATTGATACTATAAAGGAAATATCATGCAAGACTTTTAATGTTTAATATTATGCTTAGTATGCTTTATGATATAATTTTTTTTCTCCCAGCTACGCTAATTAATCATAATCTGTCAAACACCATTGTCCGGTTGTGTGGAACATATTACGGAGCTTTAGATTTGACTACGAGTACGACTACGAGTACGAGATTTGATCGCGTGCTAGGAAATTACCGTAGTCGTTTTCGTTTTCACTCAAATGTTGTTTTTATAGCAGTAAACCAACAACGAGAGAAAAAGTTTCATAAATTAAATCTCCTGCAGACTAAAATCCCCTACAAAACGTGAAAATAAGTCATAACATTAAAAACAGGCCAGATATTTAGTATTAATATATTATTTGCGCCGGATAAACGCTAGAAATTATTTTTGGAAAACAAAAAAAAGTCAACTTTCTTTGTTTTTTTGAAAAGTCGTCGTGAGGACTACGAGATTTATCCGCAAGTTCGTTATCAGATGGGCGACGGCTACCACTTTTTCGCGTCAGTACGGGATGGCGTAAGCATACAGCATGCGTTTTCGCTTGACGAATCTCGTACTCGTAGTCAAATCTAAAGCTCCCTATTTACATATTGGCACCACATTTAAGCTCTCTATAGCATGAGAATTTAATCTATTAATGCTAACTGTCACCTTAATCTCAAAATAACTACTTGACTGCGTATCCGCGTATCCACTAAAATATAGAGCTACCTATAGCATGAGAATTTGATCTAATGTTAATCTAACTGTACGCCTCGTTCTCAAAATAACTTGACTGCATGTCCGCGTATCCACTAGAATATAGAGCTACCTTTAACACTATGACAATTTAATCTATTAACGCTAAGTCACGGGATTTTAATCTATCAATCTATTTATTAATCTATTGAGAATAAATGTAGATGTATTAATGCATCGTATCCATGATGTTTGAAAAACATAGCTTAAAAGTGGACGGGTATTCTGCAATCGCTCCGGAAGATATTGCAATGGGTTTTTTTCAAAATTATGGAATCGAAAACAATGAAACTTATAAAGAATTACAGAAGCAACGAAAAGAGTTACAAAAAACTGCTACAAAAGCAAAGAAAAGCAAGTGGAAATGGCGAATATAACTTAATAAAATATGTCAGATGTCATCACCACACAAGATGTATGAAGCCACAATGTGTCCTGCTCAGATTTTGACATCTCAACCAAGCAATACAACATTTTGAAATTATCGATTGCGTGCGCAAGACACACTGGGAAGGCGCATCTAATAAGAAGAGTATCCGCTGAATGTTTTGTTTAAGGGCGCGGGTCAATGATGCGTCCGACTCTCTACGAGGAGTCCGACTGTCTACGGAAAAAAAATTTGCGTCGATGACATCATCAGGGATTGTGATACAATGTTGCATGGTTGACTCTCATAACGTTGCGATTTAATCTCATATTGCATTGTCTTTAATTTAATTGTACAGGAGTGGGCCAGACTACTCAAAAGAATGCACTTTACGCATGGAACAAAATACATCATGAAAATATGAAAATATCCTGAACTTGTCCCTAAACCTTCTTAATAACATGCTGGTATTCGACAAAGCGTTTCTACCATAGAAACCTACAGTAAAACAAGCTAGACATTTTCATATTTGCTTTTATTAATTAGATGTGGTTTGACTGAATGGGAAAGGGAACGTGAAAAGGAAGAATTCTCTAGAGCGGCGATGCTTTATCAACCACTGAAAGGAGACATAGCTGCACGTTTCATGGGAGGGAGAAACATCGATGACGATGCTTCCGATAAAGTATGTTCACTTTGTTTCTTTTGGCTAAGCTATATACTAAAATATAACTGAACAATTCGCTCGAAAGTCGAAGAATCATAAAAAAGATTTTGTTATTACGTTTATTGTGGACAACTGAAAAGAAGTTCTGTTATATTATAAGAAGTTATTTTAAGTCCTTTCACCCCCTAGTCTCCCTCGCAGACGTTCTTATAGCTCTAACCCTCGCTAACTAACGTCTGCTGAAACGAGCTGCACATTCCATTCCCTTTGTTTTAGGAGCCAATCATCTGGCAATGTTCAAAAGAGTTAGAGCCAATTGGAAGCCGCCTTATTGAGAGTTTAGCTACTGGGGAAAGCCCTTGCACATGGGAATATATTGTTTGGGTTGAAATTTGTTTACTTGCGTGGAGATATTTTGGAAACTATAGCCTTGAACTTCACGATGCTTACGTAGAATAATATTGTGATCATCTTCTCGCATGTTCTGCAAACAACCGGCGTATATAAAATGCAAAAGCTATGCAACAGGCGAAATTTTAAATTTTGTTAACAATGACAAACAAGCAATCTGGAAACTCGAGAACGAGTAGATCAGGATATGTCCAAATGTTGCTATTAAATTAAACTCTTACTAAGTCTAGTCTTACGATATGCCATGGCTTCGACGAAAAATTCTAAAAGATTAAGCTCTCGTTGCATGTAGAAAAGTATAACGAAGTTACATGTATAAACGTTTCGAAGTTTGGGCGAACTGGAAATTCATATCGGCGCAATTAAAAGTTTCTCGGGTTTTATTTGTGTTGTGTTTACATTCAAAAGTCAGAAGTCGTTGCTCAAACAGCAAATTAGTTTACTTTGAAACTAATATTTCGCTTTCTAAGCCACTGACAGTATTATATCAAATTTTCTGTCTTCTGAGTTCTGTTGTCTTAAAGATATATATCTGCCATCCTGTCCACGTTTTAAATATAACCGAACATCTTTAATATCTGAATCTGATAATTAATGGCGCATTTTATTTCCTGGACAAGTATCAATGTCTTTAAATTCAATTTATGTGCAATTTTGACCAAAATTCAACCGATGACTGCTTTCAAAATATAAAAATATTTATGTACTATTTATTCCGCCTGTAAATCACTTTCCGAAATATAGAAGGTTCGCTGTGATTGGTCGATCGGAGGGAATGGAATGTGCAGCTCATTTCAGCAGACGTTAGTTAGCAAGGGTTAGAGCTATAAGAACGTCTGCGAGGGAGACTACCACCCAAGATAACGTCGATCAGATCAATATTCAGTTGTATTTTGACTGACAGACTCACAATTATTGTACTTTACTACTGTCATTGGCTAGGATTGTATTTTGATACAATATTTAAATAGTGATTTGGTTTTTGCTGGAGTGGCAATAAACAATACAACCACGATATAACCGTTTCCAAAATTAAAATGTCCATAATACATGTCATATTCTTTTTGGTAGAAGTTGGCAACCATGGTTAAAATTATAAAACAATCTTTTAATGGTGACCTTGTTTACATGATATATGTCTACTGACAGTCTATGAAATTAGAAACGTTATGCACCTGTGGAGGTTCCGTTGAACTTATCCTTCAGCCTTCTGCATATAGTCTATATAAGCGTAAAAAAATTTGGAAGTATAGAAGAAACAGAATAGCATGTTAAAATCTTACTAGTTTAAAGCTTTCAACTGTCTTGGTGACCTAATAGCCTTGATTCAACCTGTCCAGAGTACAACACAACATGAAAAACACAGTGCAATTTGGTGAAAATTTAGCGAAATTGCCAGAAATATTATTTGCCCATTCATCACGCAACCGCCATTTTAAAACTGAACTATATAGGTCACTGAAGCATACTTGCAAAATCACCCATAATATCTATAAAATATACCGATGTACCTGTGAAATGTTCATTTTGTGACATCCTAAAGACAGACAATTAGCATTTTAAAGCTCCCTCGAGCTACGCATACATATGCACACAGTAAGTTTAATCTGGTGTCGTTTGAAACATACTTTAGCTAAAATACAACTTGAGCAAGAAGTCCAACAATGGGGTCACAAAAACAGTCGAAATTGTGCCCAAATTTGCATACATGAAAACATCTCCGATCAAGAGGTTTTGCTCAATACAGTAGATAAGATGCTAAGTCGCAAAGTGAAGAAACAATTACCTTCATATGAGGAATTGGCAAACAAAGTCGCTGATTTCTTTGTGGAGAAAATACAGATTCTAAGAAATGATTTCTCTACAGACATGCCCCATATGAGAGTAACCCTATAGTATATAATGTACCAAATGTTGCGATTGAACTTCATGAATTTACATGCATTAACCAAAGAAGAACTAGGCCCTCTTCTATGTTGCTTAGTTGGAAAATCTTATATCATATACCTGGCTGTATCTTGAGGGATCGCATTGAAGAATTACTACCAACTGTAACGAGAATTATTAACCTTTCTCTACAAACAGCCGTGATGCCCAATGATCTTGAAACCTAAAATTAAGAAAGCATCTCTTGACAATGAATTGTTCCCTAGCTTCTGACCTATTTGTAACATACGGTTCTTAGCCAAAGCTACTGAGAAAGTTGTCACATCTAAGTTGGACTGTCGCCTGACTAATTCAAATGCTCATTAATTATATCAGTCGGCATACAAACAAGGACATAGTACAAGCACCACATCGACCATTACCTTCATTACAGAGTATTTACTCCGGCACACAACTGATCGAATCAACACTGAGAACATTGGACTGTGGTTTGATGACACTATGTCTATGAGCAAACAGGTGAATGCCATTTGTGAGAAAGCTTTCTACCATCTGAGAAATATAGCATCAATAAAAAAGTTTTTGTTGCACCAACATTGTGAAATCCTATTTCATGCTTTTGTTACAACATCATTCGATCATTGCAATTTGCTTTTGAATGGTTTGCCACAATACCAAATAAAGAAATTGCAACACATACAAAATGCTGCGGCTCTTCTTCTTTTGTGTACCAGAAAGTATGAGCATATGTACAAATTGCAATATTTGAAACATACCAGTAACTGATAGCATGAGCCTTGTCTACAACAACAGCCTTTACATTTTCCCTGTATGTATTACTGGAGACCATTTTCCACCATTTCCCAACCATGAATTCAGGTGATCCAAATACTATGGAGAAGCTTCCATCGAATAATTATTTTTGTGCCTCATCAGAAGATACATCGTTCAGTGATATAGCTCTAATGCCGAGTGAATGAAGCCATTTTATTTGACCTCTATTAAGCTATTTAATGGGGAAACAATTACTACAATGGTCTTGTCATCTTGTATTGGTGATCCATACAAAGACGAATAAACAACCGCCAAGGCATGATATATCATGGATTTTCCGTTCCCTGTTGGCAAATTCACAAACAAATCTTTCCCCGTATTTATGATATAAGAATTGCTTCCCTTTGAATACTATTCAGACTCTCAATACCAAAAAAATTACAAATTTCAGCGAAAATACCTTCAAAGTTAGATTGTTTAGTCGCCATTTTGATTACTTTGTGTAGATATTGGGAAGGAACTGTGTAACCCCATAACACTTATCAGGCCACTTAGAATCTCTGTTGTCCATAAGAAACTGGTACTTGAATGACCAATTTTTCACTCCATGCCATTCTTGATACTCACTTTCACATTAAAACGGTCTTTGCTGTATGCCCAAACCAGCGCTAAATAATGAATGGAAAGAAAACATCGTCAATATATATAACTTTGCATCTGACTTCGCCAATTTCTGACTGGCCCACTCAAGAGTAGTAAAGTTTTTTGACACTTTGATGATTACATTAATCTGCCTGAGAGCCTATTGTGCACCTTATGCGAGTTATTATTATTGAATATAATTATGCCTTCTTTTTACCATTATATTAACAGGGGCAAATCCAGGGGTATCAAGTGTAGCTCAAGATATGGTCAGATTTTTCCGATTATGGGATATATTCACCCAATTAATTTCTGGGTACCCAAAAATAATGAAAATTTGAATTAAGGTGGCATACCACAAAACTTTGGCAAAATTTTCGAATTTTTAAAAAATCAATTTCTATGCCTCTTGACTATTGTTCTTTCATACTCCATCCTGTTTTTATAGTAGTCTAACTATGATTTTGAGTTATTGGATGTTTTTCAGTGCCATTAGACTTTTATGTCCTTAGCAACGCCCTTGGCAACCAATTTTGTTATGAAAATTCTCCAATAGATGCTCAGTATTCTGTAATTTTTTTCTCATAGATCAATGAACAAAGTTCCTTACACCTCCCCCCACTCTATTCATATTTAGGTCTCTTAATTCTGTCTTACATGACGTTTTCTTGATCTCAAATATATCGAAAATGTTTGGTCGGCCATCTTGTTGTGTTTATATCGTTGTGGGAAATTTGCTTTCATATTTTGTTTTATTGCTGAAATATCCAATTGTTGATCAGCAATTGTGCCATTTCCCCAGCTACATTGGGATTCTTTGTTTCCAAAGAAAGTGGGCACTATAAAGAAAAAATAAACACATATCTATATATACTTATAAATTCAGATAAATCTTACCATAGTATTTTATCTAACACCAAGAGGATTTTAGTGTTGATTATATAGTGTCAAGTGAACATCATACTGCCAGTTAAATGGTTATTAATTAAAAGTATATAACTGTAAATTAATTGCTGATTGCAAAAATTTGTAAACAACAAATTAATAAAAAAATAAATAAATAATTTTGAAACATAAATTATGTCAATATTACTTTCATACATTTAATAAATTTAAAGTAATTTCGCTATCATTTGTTTCACAATTATTTTCAAAACGTATTTGATTGTAAATAATAATTAAGCACCATTTAATGCAGTCTGGTGCAGTAGCCTCTGTACACCAAAAGTGCAAAACCACAATGTATAACCATAATAAACCCACAATTAAAACCCATAATTAAAACCCATAATTAACCCATTGAGCCATAATGCGCAATACTTATTTTTTTACTTGTCTAACGCCAAACAATTTTACTTGTCAATGGGGAAGCTCTGCAGCTTAATGGGTTAACCAAAAAATCTGACAATGTCTCTAGTTAACCCATTGAGCCACAATGTGCCCCAGTGCACCCTACTTATTTTTTAATAATGTCTAATGCCAGACGATTGTACTCGTCGATGGGAAAGCTCTTGGCAGCTTAAGGGGTTATTGATTATGCCTATTTCAGTTGATCACATATTAAGAAAAAGCCCATGCAGTTTTACAAGTTACAAATGCTTCAAAGTGATAACTTGAATATACTAAAGTGTACAAATAAGATCTTACCAGGTAAGACTTTAGAGTCATTTCATGCCTGTACTTGTGAGGTATGTGATAAACGACCACTTTAGACAAATGTTTGAAGCATTTGAGGTACTTTACAATGACCCGAGTAACAAGAACTGCAAATTGACTTTTTATCCCCGAGCCGGCGGCGCGAAGCGCCGTGCGAGGGTACTAATTCCCCCCGGCTATTTACACCCGGGGAAACGAAAGCATTAGCGGAGTCTAAAGTTCATCAAATATCGCGGGCGTGGGTGACCAACGGTGTTGAGTGGGTGGTCATCCTCACTGATCTCAAAAATATGGCGGACTGTCATGGATAGCGAACACTGATTGGTCAAATTTAAAATTTGTTGTTGTATGACAAATGACGACTTCAACTGACAGATACTCCATGAAAATAATTTGCTTTTTACACTACAGTATTTTGTACGTTTGCAAAAAACTTTGACAGCTTTCAAAGCAATTTGTTCTATAAAAAGTTTAATAAAACAATTACGGTATCAAATACCAATTGAAAAGATATGGAGCCAAATGAAGAGCGGCAAGGAAACGACAAGAAAGCCGAACGTCTAGCGAAAAGGAGGGAGCGAAGACAACAACGTTTGCTCGAGGAGACTGCTGAGGAAAGAGAAGCTCGCCTGGGAAAGCGTAGAGAAGCATGGAAAAGACTGCTGAGTGAAGCGAAAGGTAAGAAAAGGCTTGTCTTCACAACGCTATGTAGTAATCTACTAATGTTACTGTAGCTATACGAGTTGAAGTATGATATTCGACCCTCTATATTCGACTGTTTCTTCACAATTTTCCAATAAAGAGTTTGTCAAGACACGCTCAAGTCAGTATAACCAGACTGTATTTTATTTATATCAGTTATTACAGCCACAGGCGATTTTATGCTGTCAAATACCGTCGGTTGCAACTAAAGGTGAACAGTTGCAGATAAAACATTCTCTATTCTCATTAAAAAGCCTGTAAGGGTTTCCAGTAGGTCTCTAGCCCAACACGTTCAGACCACACAAAGTTTTTTTTACTTATTATTGTACACATGGGAAACAACAATTAAGTGTTGTTGTTCTTGACAAACATTGGAAATTCTAATCACGCAAATGTTTTTATGAGCAACTGTTCATCGTTAGTTGCAAGCGACGGTACAACATACTATGAACATTTTTCCGACTGTGACCGAATGTGCAACGATATAATTTTCAAAGTTGTTATCAATTCCTAAAATTTGTTTATAGTAAAACGGCCTGCTCAGCACTCACTACTCACGTTGATCTGATTTCATTTAGAAATGCAGTTACCGGGAAAGGAACTGATTCTAAAATATGTAAATTTAAAAGCATTGGCTAACAGAATAAAGCGATCGGTGAAGACAAGGTACAAACTTTTATAGTTGCTATTTGTTATAAAATCCTATAAATAAACCGATTCAACAATAATTTTGCCTCGAATTTGCATATTCTATGCTGCATGTTTATATTTTATTTTTATAGTATAAAAATAAAATTGTAATACTATGAAATAAAATACATTTCTGTTTATTGACCAGTACTTATTTAATGTCTTCTTCATCCAGTGGTCAGAGTAAATTTCTACTTCTAGCAAGTAAATATTTGACAAGCAGTCTGGAATAAGCACAGGACTTTTAATGCATCAGCCAAATCCAAGTGTGCCCATCCCCCTCGCCCAGCCATTTTCCTGTAAAGCACATCCCGGGGGTTGGGCATTTCCACTCAAACCTTAGCCCCGGCGGGGCATTTGAAATTAATAATTTGGATTTTTGCACTTCACTTGTGGAATTAATATTAGAATGTTAGGGTTTGTAATCCAAGTGAGAATATATGCATGTATATATTTTGTAATCCAAGTGAGAATATTTTGTAATCCAAGTGAGAATATACAAATGTATAGTACATCTATATATTTTGTGTATATATTTTGTAATCCAAGTGAGAATAGTTTGTAATCCAAGTGAGAATATACAAATGTATATATTCTCACTTGGATTACAAACCCTAACATTCTAATATTAATTCCACCAAGTGAAGTGCAAGAATCCAAATTATTGAAGTCCACCTTATCACAACCCGCACACCCGATTACCTAAATATACATGAACTTACGGTTAAAGCTCAACAGCTGGCCTCTGTAGCTCAGTTGGTTAGAGCGCTGCACCGGAATCGCAGGGCTGTAGGTTCAATTCCTACCAGAGGACCTTGTGCTGCATTTTTCGCAGTCGTTCCTGGTTAGGTCTTAAAATGTATATATTCTCACTTGGATTACAAACCCTAACATTCTAATATTAATTCCACCAAGTGAAGTGCAAGAATCCAAATTATTGAAGTCCTACCTTATCACAACCCGCACACCCGATTACCTAAATATACATGAACTTACGGTTAAAGCTCAACAGCTGGCCTCTGTAGCTCAGTTGGTTAGAGCGCTGCA